TTATACTCTGTATAATATAAAGTAACAGTATAATAGGGAACTAATAAGAAAAACAAAATTGATAGCTAATTGTATTAAGTGAACGTTACTAGGATAAAGGGGGTGTTTGGTTGGGAGTCTATCAACCATTTTTGGCTGTTTTGACTAATATTTAGCCTTTTGACCAGATGAAACAACTAATAGGATGTTTGGTTACATAGCTTTTTCATTTGGCTTTTTTTATCTAAACAGCCAAAAATAAAAAAGCTACAAAACATGGCGTTTTGACATTAGCCGTTTTAGCAATCTCCTAATTTTCCTAATCTACCCACGCCCCTCCGCCCTCCCCCCGTTTCGTTACTTCGTATGTCAATAACTATACCAAATTGAGGTTCCGACTTCATAAATACAAGTCGGTGAATTCATTCGAGTTGCAGCTAGTTTCTTTTATTTATTTATTTATTTATTTATTTATTTATTTATTTATTTATTTATTTATTTATTTATTTATTTATTTATTTATTTATTTATTTATTTATTTATTTATTTATTTATTTATTTATTTATTTATTTATTTATTTATTTATTTATTTATTTATTTATTTATTTATTTATTTATTTATTTATTTATTTATTTATTTATTTATTTATTTATTTATTTATTTATTTATTCCAATTTCTTCTAAAATTATGTTTTCGCTGTTATTTATTCCCAACGTTTTGTTTTTGCCTTTTATTTTACATTGAGTTATTAGTTTTATCTGTAGGCTAGGTCTCTAATCTACCTTATGACTTAATACATTAAAAACAATGTTTAAAAAATTAGTGCTTCTCTTAAAATATTTTTATTTTGTTGTAAATCATAAAAAATGTTTAATTAGTCGTGAAAATAACATTAACAAAATGTATGATATGTATATAAAAGTATTTAGTAAATAAAAAATTAATTGATGTCCTTAAAAGTCATTTAATAAGTTATCAGCTGAACTCAAACAACTATTTAACCAAACAATATTTTGCAAACTGCTAATACTATCAGCTGATCAAAACAGCTAACAGAATCCGCTATTATTAATCAGCTAACACAATCCGCCAACAGCCAACAGTCATCTCCCATTTGCCAACAATCTTTCAATGGTATTGACCAGGCATTAATAATGATGAAATATTTGATAGCGCATGTATGTGAATAGCAATTTGGAAAATTTGGGTAATTTATACGTATCAATTATCATGGTAATTTGCCTCGGATCATAATTTTACCAACTTTAAGAGAAACCTCATTTGTATCAGAGTATTTGATACACGTGTAATTTCCGTGTGTGTGTTTATGTTTTTAGCTAGTTTTGGTTGTTTAATATTTCGGAAATTACACACTTTTGGTGTAATAGTTTAGTTTGTTAAATTCTTGTAAATTGTTTAGATTAGATTTATTCTGAGCTCAAACAGGTCTACTATCACTCAAAGGACGGTTGGTGAACCCCAAAAGTGGAAGGAGGGTGCAAAATCACAAGACAAAGGGGAAGATCCCGATTTTTGGTCTATACTCGATCGAGTATCTGTATATACTCGATCGGGTATCTTGTTGAAATTTCAAATCGGATCGGATCCGAAAACAAAGGAACATGCAGGGAAGATTTTGACCACGATCGAATGTCTATACCCGATCGGGTACACCGACATACTCGATCGGGTATGGCTATAAATTTTACTCTAATTTCGACCGAGTATGGATCGAATTCGAGTTTCTACACATACTCGATCGAGTATCTGTATATACTCGATCGAGTACCCGAGCTGCACTCCCAAAAAGCCTATAAATACACCCCCTTTCCTTCACAAATAGATCACCAATTCCTATACACTTCTAAGCTCAGTCTAGATAAGTTCTTTCTTTATATTTTCTTCATGTTTAGTCTCCAAATGAGGAGCTAAACTCTTCCATCTTGGTTTTGCTACTTTGAAGCTTAATGATTTGTAAGTTGTGAGTTATTTTCTTTAATCTTCTTCCTTGAATATTAATTACTTCCTATTCATATTCCATATTAATATTTTGAGCATTACTTAAAGGATCAATTAGTTTTGTTTCATATATTAATTATTACTAGAATCAATCGGTTAATACGCTTGTTATTAATTCGGTTCTTTCAATGGTAGTAAACTTGGGTTGTTAATGCATGCTTCTCATGGTTAATAAGCCAAGAGGAATTAATTATATTGATTAAACCAATAAACCGCTTGTGTTGAGGTTATCAATCTCAATCGTTTTCATCTTAAGTTTATTGCTACTATCAAGTTAATATACAGCGCTTGTTCTATATTGACTCGATAGTAAGTTTTATTAATGAACGCATCTCGTTATTAATAACTACCCTCGATGAATTGGATATACTCCTCGATTGAGTATTCGAGAGGAAGATAGTTAAAGATATAACCGGGATCGACGGACATTTCATTAAGTGGATAAAAGCAAAGCCAAGTCTCCTTCTTATTAATTAAACCACATAACTCGTTCATCTTCGTGTTTAAAGACAATTTAAGTTCATTAACCAAACATAAAACCCCCCTGTTATTACTTATTTATTTATATAAAAAGAAGAGTGTTCCTTTCCTTGTGGATACGAACCTTACTACACTATACTACGTATTAGTGTCGTATTGTATTATTATTTTGAGTGCACATCACGACAAAGTGCACGTCAGTATTGTATGGATATTTGTAAAAAATGGAGTTCATACGTATTTTCTTATTCATTTTCTTGTTTCTAGTTGAGTGATGAACATTTTGTCAAAGATAATTCCCTAGTCTCTCTCTCTATCTTCGCCGCCGCCTAGGGTTCTTCTAGGGGTGTTTCCGGTGTTAACCGCTCGGGTGTAGCACCGAGTTTTGGATTTTGCGTCTGCGTTGGCTGATCCAGCAACGTAGATCGTCGGTGCTCTTTGGATTGGTGCTAATCGGTCTGCAGCTCCGCATCTTCGGCGGATATGGAGGTGGAAACTGGAAACGAGTTTCGGAAATTCGTTTGATGAGTCTTCTTTTTCCGGCCTGAAAGTCTTCGTGGACAAGTACAAGACGATGGCGATTGGGGTAGAGGAAGAAGAACATGATCTAGATGAAGCTGATGTTGAGGTTGTGGCGGATGAACGGCAGGCGCGTCCCCCTCCTGAGCCGCCGCCATGGAGTTCAAGCAAATATAGGGTTTGGAAGAAGATGGGTGAAATCTATTTTAATTCTGTTTTATTCAGTTTGTGTTTGTTTTTCTATCGTTTTGCATGTTGTTTTGGACGTGTTCTTTTTTCCTAGCAGAGATATCCTTGAGTTTAGGTTAGGTGATGAGAAGTCTGGTTTGTCAGTCATTGGCTCAGTTAAGCCCATTACAGGATCAACGAATGTTATTGCTTCTACAGAGGTGAACATTCTCAGTCTGGTTCGAGGGCGGACGGCAACCATAAGGCTTTTTATCTTTTTGTTTACTTCTTTTTCTTTGATTGTATGATCAGCCATGTGACGGACATTATTTTGATTTAGTATATTCATAGTACTATTTCATTCAAAAAAAGAGAAACCTCATTTGTATAATGTCATGCCACCGTGAACAAATTGGAGTAGGACAAAAAAAGTTCAATTGTGAACAAATTGGAGTAGGACAAAAAAAGTTCAATTGATAAGTACTATTATGAAATAGTTACTTATGTATGATTAAATTAAAGATCATTTACAAAAATGTGATTAATGACTAAAGTAGTAATTGAATCATATTGACTTATGTTCAATTTTTAAATTTAAATTACCATGAAACTACATTGTAGTAACTATTAGTCATATTTATGTAAATAGTTTTATTTTAGTACGGAGTAATATTTTGAAGAAAACCTACAATTATTAGTGTGACTCATAAAACTTTTATTGATGTACTTTTTTTAATGACACTCTCTCGTATTTTAAAATTTGCTACCATGGGAGGGAATAATCCCGCCCAAAATAAGGGTAAAATAGGGAATTAATAAGAAAAACTAATTTGGTAGTTAATTGTATTAAGAGAACGTCAGAACGTTACTAGAGTAGGAAAGAAATATACTCCGTAATATGTATTGACCAAGCATTAATAATGACAGAAATTTTTAAGGTGACAACTCCGGTACCCTTTTAAAAATTGGGGTATCGTACCTATCATGCATTTGATTGGTCCAAATCATTCTATTCCTTTTAATTTAGATATAATTAATTCAACTGCATCGTTCCTATTGGTCCATGTGGACAAAGGTATGGTACCTTAAGGGTACCATAGAATTTACCAATTTTTAATAGTGTATATATATATGGATAGCAATTTGGCAAATTTGGGTAATTTATACGTATCATGGTAATTTGCCATAAGGATCACAAATTTACCATCTTTAAAAGAAACCTCATTTGTATACTGTAAATGCCACCGTGAACAAATTGGAGTATGACAAAAAAAAAGTTCAATTGTGAACAAATTGGAGTAGGACAAAAAAAGTTCAATTGATTGTACAATTATGAAATAATTACTTATTTATAATTAAATTAAATATCGTTTACAAAAATGAGACTAATGACTAAAGTAGTAATGAAGTCATAGTAACTTATACTCAATTTTTAAACTTAAGTTCTCATGACATTACATTGTAATAATCATTAGTCATATTTATGTAAATAAATTTATTTTATTAATATTTTTGAAAAACATCTACAACTATTAGTGTGTCTCGTGAAACTTTTTTTTGATATACTTTCTTTAATGATACTCTCTCCGTATTTTAAAGTTTGCTACAATTTTCTTTTTAGGATTTATCTAAAAGGTTGCTACACTTTCTTTTTTAGTAAGTTTTCCCTTAAAAAAATACTCAATTTCCCTTAATTTTTAAACGTAGTGCGGAATACTTTTTATCTACTATTTCATGCTTCAATATATTCTCTTTTACTTTTTCTGCACTATTCATTACCCCTACTACTTTCCTCCTTTTTTCCTCCTTAAATAATGTGTCAAAGTCATATATGTAACCATATTTAAAATACGCTTGTTAATCGCGCTTGAATGACCACTATGGAATTACCTCTTGATATTTCCTCTATAAGTTCAGCTCTTGCCGCTTCGTATTCATCCTTCAAACAATATTACATTTTTCATAGATAGATAGGTGATCATTTTTAACATATTCCAACTAAATTTTCATACCAAAAAACAAATAGCACTGTAAGAGAAAAAGGGCATGAGTGCAAGAATAAAGATGCAGAATAGCATAGGCTTGATAGGCACTGACGAACAGCTTCATAAAACAGAAATCCCCTCATAGTGACCACCTGTGAGATCCAGTGAGTGAGTGAACTCACGTTTCATGAACTTGAGCATTTCAAGCAGGTTTCATATTAAGTATTAACGAAATAGAAAATATACAGTATGAGAAACAAAAGTATTAATTACATACTTTTTCTTGCGGAGGTTTATATGTTTGTTTTCCTTTCCTTTTCCACCTCAAGTATGCCTGTATCCGAACATGATCATCAGGAACAGAAAGATTTGACTGGTGGTCTTCTATGAGGCAACGAGAAATGCAAAGACACTCATGGAAGAAGAAAATACAATTGTAAAAATAGAATTACGTTAAGCAAGACTTAACAAATATAGGAATAGATGAACAAAAATCACATTTTGGAGAAAATGATACTGATTTGGAAAACTTCAATAGAATGAGAGATGAAATAGGAAATAGCGGGAGGCGGTCTATTATTCATTCAGAGAATAGTGCAGATGTGATCTATTTTCATTTAAAAAATGGATTGACCCGTGATTGTGTCGGTTTAAAAATAGGTGCTTAGTAAGAGATGAATGTGTTATGTCGAACACAAATAAACACCTGACTATGATAAACAGGAAATAAGAAAAGACTTGGTAAACCATTTGCCTCACAATTGGCAACCAAGAGAAATTCTGTATCTGTTTAGAATTTTCTGAAACAAGAAAACTAATAGGCATGACCTGCAATGACACAAAAAAAAAGACAAATCTAGCTATAAATACTCATGAAAGGAGCACATTTTGAACCTTAATCACTGGAATAACAAAGCAAAATCAGAGCCTCTTTGAATAGATGCCTCTTACCAATCTTTTTATCGACCCGATATGAAAAAAATGGCATAAAACAAGCATAAGTTACTGCATAATGAATGAAAATACATGCTAGAAAACATTTGAGATAAATCCTAATAGAACTCTGGGGGATTAGCACACAAAACGACTTGGGGGTGAGGGTCATAGCCTCATGTCCCCTCCAAAGTTTTTCTAGAGCTAAGTAAACCTTTATATTGAAACCTTGTTCTGCACCTGCATTAATGTATAAACAAAAATGTAGATAAAGAAGTCTCCCACACATTCTAGAGAGAGTAATTCAGTAGAGCAAAGAGAAACATTTACCGCACGAATAGGAGACCAAATTGAAACACCACTCTCATCTGCTTTCACCTATTTCAGCATCATAAAAATCAAAATTAAATGAAATTTAAGTAGTGAGACAATGTGTTATCAGTATAATAAAAAAAGTTGGTGCAAACCTAACTAAACTCAAGTATGAATGAGAAAATATTGGTGCGAACCTGAAGAAAACATACATGCGCTGAAGAAAACGCTGACCTGGAGCGGATAGAAGGGCAAGGTTTTTCCAAATTCACAAAGTATATCCCGATTCACCTGCTCTGAAGCGCTGAAGGAGATTGTTGCTGACCTAGTATGTCCCTAGGTCGTTTTTTTATAGAAACCAAAATCGAACGACAAAAATTACAAAATTCTATGTAAGGCTAATGGATTTCGGATAAAACTTAAATTAAATTAGATATTTTGCTTAAAGGATGACCTAGGGACGAAAGTTATACAAGATAATTTACATACCTGAAATCGACGACAATCGCTCATGAAGAAGACCTAGCGAGGACTGACCTGCGACTCCTACATCAGAGCCAAGAACTCCTGCAATCAATCGATCGAGGAGATGGAGAATCTCGCATTACAGCCTTAGTTTAAGCCGCACATTGAAGCCTAGTGTTAGTCTGAAACGGGGAGATGGAGAATCGTTCATCAATCAGTCAATGTAGGCCGGCCCATAAGTAAGTTACACGTGCGTTAAGTTCAAATATGCTCCGTAAAAAATGTTTGTGTCACTATGCAATGCTGGAGTATTTTTGTTAGAAACCAGTGACACATTTGTATTACTTATAGTATTATATCAGTACGTGTCACTACATAAGTGTCACTATAAGCCATATTTCTAGTATTGCTATTTACGTTGGATTTGATCTAGTTTGATATGTTTGAGTCAGATGTAGTATGGCTGAGACTGGAATTGAAATAAGTTTAACTAAAAGCGTCTTAATTTAATTTTAGAGATTTTTCCTTAAATATTACTGAAATATAATTTAGGGACAAAAATATTATTCCATACTACAGTTAATATGCATAGTTAATATGGTTATCATGATTACCAACGTTATTCTTGTAGTCACTAAGTCGTCATATTTTTGGAAATAATTACGTGAATAAGACCAAAATAAAGATGATTTACAAAAATATGAATAGTTACTAGAGTAGTAATGAAATCATAGTAATTCATGTTCAAGTTTTGAACTTAAGTTACTACAACACCACATTGTAGTAATGAATAGTCATATTTATGTAAATATGTTTTATTTGATAATATTCTTGTAAAAAACCCCATATTTTTGTCTATTACCTTCATTTTGGTTATATATTTGTCATTTCGATTGTGGAGGGGCGGGCGGGCGGGCGGGGGGTTCAGTGACCGAAATCGAATGATTATCCAACCTCCAATAAATAGATGCGTTATCCAAAAACTCAATTTGGAAAATCATTAACTATCCCAAACAAACACAGGCTAGATGCCTCAAATCTAAAACATTATAGTTGAGTAAAACTCGGAGTAATAATTAGGATAAGCTAATTTCACAAATCCTAGTCAGACAGAATCACTAATCCTTCGGGCCATAGCCATATTTTTATCTATATATATATATATATTAATAATGTATGCCTCAGATTACACAAATCCTAACAAATTCCTCCCTGCCCGTAGTTCGTTACGCACTTAAAATCACAATTAATTTCGCTCTCGATCTGAAACTTCCACTAATTGAAGATGAAATCCATCAAGGTTGAAGATGAATATCAAGCCACCTCTCACTATTGGTAATTTTCATCGTTAATAGAATTATATTTTACTATTATCTGCCTTCATATATTTATTTAATTCATTCATACTCATAATCCTATAGTTAAAATTATATATCGATTCTACATATTTAGCCCTTTATGAAAAGTAAATTTCGTTTCCTAGTTCATTGAATATTTGAATCATTGAATGTGTCCATTATTTGTAGTGAGTTTAATCTCGTGGATCAGTTTGTACTGATTCTATTCCTATGGATCAAACCGGAAATTCAATCACATAATCATGATAAAATTGTCCACTTGTAGCACCTTTCCTAAATAGGACTAATCTTACCTTTTTATCCCTAATTCTATTTAATTAATTAATTGATCTAAATAATTGCCCCCTAATTTCCTTGCACAACCAAGACAGTCCGTCGGTGGCGGAGCAGCCAGTGGTGGCGGCAGCACTCCGGCAGCAGCTGGCGGCGGCGGCCGGCGGCGGTGGCCGGCGGCAGGCGGCGGTCCGGCAGTCCCTAGGCAGCAGGTGTAAAGGTTATGAGGGGTATTTGGGTCCAATCACTAATAAAAAGTCCTATTTAAGGATGTTTAAACTATGTACTCCTATTTTGAGGAAAAAAAAGCCATGTTTTAGTTCTATTAAGGTAGAGTCCTTTTCTTGTTCAGCCGGCCTGACGGGAACCGCCGTCCGGCCGAGGGCATTTCGGGCACTTCCCGATGGAATTTTTTGATGAAACTTTTTGAGCATGTTCTTCATGAAGTCTAGTTTATCCATACCAAATTTCAGCTCAAAATTCGATCGGGAAGGCATTCAAATAATTTTGTGAAGTTAACTGGGCAGTTTATATGTATGAACTGCCCAGTTAACTTCAAGAAAATATTTGAGTGCCTTCCCGATTGAATTTTTAGCTGAAATTTGGTATGGATAAACTAGACTTCATGAAGAACATGCCCAAAAAATTTCATCAAAAAATTCCACCGGGAAGTGCCCGAAATGCCCTCGGCCGGACGGCGGTTCCCGTCAGGCCGGCTGGACATGAAAAGTCCTCATTAAGGTAAATCTCCTCATAATCATCATTTGGATGTACGTAGCGTTATCTCTGTACTAAAGCACAAAGTGGCTGTGTCGGGATGACCCTAGTGAAAGTCACGTCAAAATGAAATAATCCCAAAATTTAAGAATTCATATTTTTGTTTTGTTGCGATTTAAATAATATATTAGTAATTGGTATTTGTTGTTATTGTTTTTTAACACTAAAATAAACAGCTACAATGACAAGGTAGATCTGGTGACAAAGTTATATTCACAAGAAAAGGCAAAAGGTGGGAGTTCTATTACAAGTAGTGACCAAATTAAGAAAAGTGTGAGATTTGATGAAGGGTGCAATCAGGTGATACTGTTCTCACCTACTGAAGATGCAACTCGCCATACTAAACCGCCAATGCAGAAGAAGAAGAAGGCGGGCGGCTGCGCGTGTGGCACACCCACCCATAGCAGCTCACTGAAGTGCCGCCTCCACCGCAACAGATGGGCGTCGGCGCCACTGAAGATAACGAGCCGCCGCCCTGGGAGCGTTGATGATAGCCAGATATCACAGTTTACAAGATTTGGAAGGGCCATTCTGAAGTCTTTTCAATTTTAAAAATTTCTCTGCTGATTATACTTTGTAGTCCATAGCCAGTGTTAAGGTTATGGTTTCATAGATTAGGGTTGGCATGAACTATATTCTTCAAATATTTTATATAATGAGGGATTGTAATTTTCAAAATCATCATTATTTTAGCCGCCAATTATTTTAGTCCCAACAAATTTTTAGTGTAGTTAAAAGAGTAAAAGACTTGGATATCGAACTTTTTTTTTTTTTTGAATAAGATATCGAACTTTTTAGTGCACAATTTCTACTAAACACTCAAACTTACCCCAAACCAGTCTGACATTAAATATTGAATATAATATATATTGTGTTTTGAAAAATAGAAGAATTTATCTTGAATCTTTGTATGTAGATTGAAGAGCCTTCTTATAATGTTCTTGTACACAATTCAATTAGGATGTTTTCACTTGACTCTTTCCATCCCACAACAGATCACGCAAGAATTAAACACACCAGATTAGACATAAACAGACCAGACTTCAATATTTATAAAATACACAGAGACCATACATTTACTATATCAGTTCAAACCAGTCCGGAATAAACCAAACCAGCAAATTTCAGTCCAAATAAAAATATCCTTACACAAAGTGACGCTCATATGCATTTCTCAAGAACCTCAATTAATTTTGACAAATTGATATACCAAAATAAAATGACAATATTAATATACGGAGTATTATCTAGTGTCCATCAAATTTTAAGGGATTCTACACATCATATTTTATTTAATACAAAGCACAATCAATTAAAGTATTGGGAAAAGAGTCAAACAGGCCCTCGAACTTACATAAAAAGTTCAAATAAGCCTTATATAGGAGGCTCTTTTCGGCCATCGCCATTTGGGGCAGTTCCCGGTGAAAATTTTTGATGAAATTTTTTGAGCATCTTATTCATTAAATCTAGTTGACTCATACCAAATTTCAGCTAACAATTTTGTGGATCGTTGCGCTTACCGCTACACTAAAAGCAATCGCTGATAGTGTAGCACGCTCCTCCCCATTTATAGCACATGCGAAGCGTCACGCGGTTCGATTGCACCGGCAGGCTGGACAATTGCTGGCACCGCATACCCGCGGCCCAACAATCTCCCCCCAGCACTTGCCAGCCTCAACTGCGCAACATGCTGTTGCCGGGGGTCGAACCCGTGACCTTGGCTCTGATACCACTTGTGGATCGTTGCGCTTACCGCTACACTAAAAGCAATCGCTGATAGTGTAGCACGCTCCTCCCCATTTATAGCACATGCGAAGCGCCACGCGGTTCGATTGCACCGGCAGGCTGGACAATTGCTGGCACCGCATACCCGCGGCCCAACAAATTCAATCAGGAAGGCATTTAAATGAATTCTGGAAGATAACTGCGCTTTTAATTGCGCAGTTATCTTCAAGAATTCATTTGAATGCCTTCTAGATTGAAGTTTTAGCTAATCAGTTTTAGCTCAAAAACATTCATAAAAAAATTCCACCGGGAACCACCCTTAAATGACGACGGACGGACAGAGCCTCCTATATAAGGGTTTATTTGATCTTTTTATGTAAGTTCGAGGGCCTATCTGACCCTTTTCCCTTAAAATATTCGAAGTCCTTTGAATCGGCATCGTGCATCGATGCCATTTTAATGTCCAAAATATATAAGTTTTTTGTTGTTTTTGCTTAATTGGATCGAAATTTTCCGGTCTGGTCTGATCTTATATGGTCTAGTCTGGTAAATGTGTGGTCTAGCTTTATGTATTTTATAACTGTTCAAGTCTGATCTAATGTTATCTGGTCTGATCAGGTATGATCTAGAATTGAAAATAATTCGAGTAATAACATCCTTAGTTGTACACTTATACTCCGTATATAACAAGTAATGAGTTTTTTTTAAAGGAGTAATGAGTTTATTATTAATACATGCATTACCTAAGGATGTGTTTACCAATTACATATTACGTAGCACGGAGTATTAAAGAATTAAGGTAATGTAATCAACGGTTTTAATCGACCTTAATTGCTAAAGCTATATGTTACACTACCAAAAAAATATGGGATTGGCAGAGATTTTGCAAAATTCGTGTCAAAAACATTTTGGATCGAGCTATTT